AATGGGTTATCGCTTCTACACTTCTTGGACTTCAGATTCAAGTCATAACTTGTGTACTGTTAAACCTAGCTATGATTACTTGACACTTCAATTATGCCAAACGGCGGCTCGACATTTTGAAGCTTCTTTCCAGGTCGGACGGACGAATTTGGACTCCGTAAACAAGTTAAACGAGCGAAATAGTATTTCGCGACAATTTTGTCAGTGAAACAGTTATTGAAGAAGATTGGCAATAAAATTTTCGCATGAGACGAAGATCGCTGTACAAATTAGCTGACGAACTGAGAGTGAATCCCAATACGTGTGGACGTGGGCAAATTAGATTTGAGTACGGATACAAGTGGATTTAAAAGTTTCGCGGATAAGAAAATATCCGGATACGTGAAGACGTAGACGGGACCTTGTTCGACACTGGATAAAATTGCACTTAAAGGGGTGTCACGGTAGTCCAGTTCATTTTGTTTAATTTTGCCAGTTACTCGCCCTCAGTCGCTACGGAACTTAAAGTAAGCAAAGAAATTACTTGTAAATGACACGAGCAAAGATTCGAGACAAACAAATATGTCTCCTTAGCATTATGTTTGAAGTTGCAAACAGCAGGGATCAACTTTGAAAAACTGTTAGGTTGAACAGCTTTCAAAAACCCTAATTTCAATCCCTTTCAATCTTCTTCAGTTTTGCCCATCCGTGGCATCTGTTGTATCTGCTGTGTTATTTTAACTTTCCTTTAATGTTTTAAGCGGTTATTTACGTTTCTCTTAATTTAACGGGCATTTTGTAATTACCTAATTTGGATGAGTTTCGTGACACAGCGCCTTTAATTTTCTTTCGGTTTTCTTATTTTCTAACAGAACACATCAAGCTAGTAGCCTGGGTGAGGTAAAACTTACTTCTCAGAGTCAGTCAAACAGTTTCTAGTTTTGTAAAAACGAGTTTTGGTCAAACTAACGCTCGAGTCTGAGATAGAGGGGTATAAAACAAAAGATTCCGGCCCAGGTATGAATAATTCATAATATCTTGTTTAAATCCCCTCTACCTCAGAGCCACGTATGGTGTCTTAAAAATGAAAGTTTTAACATGATAGTATTTCGTCAATAGAGTTAAAAGATGGAAATTTATTGAAACTCTTCTTATCAAGAGGTGAGATGGTAAAGTATACACCTCGTTTTTTTCTTCAGACAACTCTGTCGCTCCAACAGCAGTCATGGTACCGTTGAATCAAACTGTTGACGTAGGTGCATCAGCAATCCTGTCATGTCAGGTGACAGGACGTCCTTACCCCACCATTCAGTGGAACAAAATTGGTGGCAGCTTAACAGAGAATCACGTAATTGAAGACGGCGTGCTGCGGATACAAAACGCGACTATTGAGGACGCGGGAACGTACGTGTGCGTGGCGCAAAACAAGAAAGGAGTCCAGCAGGCAACAGGGATATTTGATGTTAGAAGTGAGTAATTCTCAAAGCACTCCACGGTGAACTTGTGGAAAAGTTTGCATGAACGCATGGAGGGTCAGCCTGGGCCATACTGAGATAGGCTATGTTATTAATACACATACCATAATTACCCCTTTCACTCCAGCCAAAAGTGTTACGTAACAGGGTCTACGTTGCCACTCCAAAGGCATTATTCAGTGAAATCAAAATATCGCAACTTTACGTATAACGATTTGAGGGGAGAGTTTAGTTTACGGTTAGGGCTATGCTGCTTGCAGGGTTTTGAGTTTTAGACACACTCCCAAGTTACATTATTTTCGCAATTACGAGTGCATGTGATGCATCAGTAGTGAACAAAGGATTCTCTTTTTCTGCTTGTGCTTATATTAGCAATTGACACGATTAGGGTTTAGTCATATGAAGCTTTTCACGCTAAGGATGCGAAGGTTCTAAGACCAGTTAACAATTATTCTTTGAAATCGACGTGAATAGTGGCTAAATATTTACCGAGCCGCGAAAGCGGCGAGGTTAATATTCTCAAAGCCACTATTCACCGAGATTAAAAAGAATAATTGTTTTAGTATATATACACACGAAGTGATCTCAACAAAATCAGAGAGGAAACCATTAAAAAGTACGATTTGATCGACAGATCAAATCACGCGTAAGTTTGAAAATAGATCTTTGCAGAATTTTCAAACATGGCAATTCACAAGTTTATCATTTCGCAAACAACAGCGTAATGGCTTAAATGGAACCGCTAAAAGTTTGAACTGTTTCCTTACCTGAGAAGAAAAGTAGAGCTTTGTTTTTTTATTCTGTTGACTCGCCAAGTTTATAGCCAAAAGGGTTTGTTGTGTCGTTCTTACATGAAGTGCTGACAAAAATGGCGGCTTCGTTGCTCCAGGTAAGACGTCGTCTTCCTGTATCATTCTTTTTCCTGTTTACTTGAAACGTAGAATTTCTGCAAACATTTCGTTTTAAATTTGTTTGTCATGAATAAACTTCGATTTTTGAGCCAAAATTTTCTTGTTAGAAAACGCTGAGTTCACGAAACGGCTTCTTCTACGCGGATACACGGGAGCTGTAAAACAATCCATTGAGCACAGAACTCAGCTACAGGCGGTAAATTGAAAAACGCCGTATTGAACCCTTCCAAGTCTTTTTTGCGTTAAAAAAAGTCAGCCCTAGGATTTTGTCGACTTTTGAAAGATCTTTCTCTAAAAAAAATGGGAAAAACACCGAGCTCACACATTATCCACTCGCTAGGAGGTGAATATTGTTGAACAGTCCGAGATAGCGAACCAATCAGATTTCTTAAATCACCAAGATCACTGAGTGTGTATATACTAAATTGCAATATCTCATATCGTCGAAGCTATAGTTAGGTTATTTACATCCCATATCCGCATTAACTCGGTACTTATCATTATTTCTATATTTCTACGTTTCTTTCTTTTCTCTCTCTCTCTCTCGCTGACCATCTTTGCCAAATAATTGTGATCAAAAATTGTTTTTTAATTGCCATACGTTCGGAATTTTGTTAGATTGCGCAATGATTATGGTTATTGTTATTTTTTGTTGTTGTTGTTGTTGTTGTTGTCGTTGTTAAGAACTGGATGACGTGGCATAACAACGATCTTGCATGTGGCAGCCTGGGCCGAGTATTTTGAGGCCCAGTTAGTTCTTGAACATATCTGTTATTATGGTTAGCTATCTTAAATTTCTTCCAATCGGGCTTCGAGCAACTCGGCTCTGGTGTGGAGTGAAAGGGTTAATGAATCAACACAAGTTGGTCTGCTCTTGAATTCTCGAACGACTCTATTTTGCATTAGTGTTAATTCCATAAACAAGCAATCGCCAGCTACTTAAACCCTTTCACTCCCAGAAGTGCTCTTGTTCATAATCCGATTAGATTTTTATTGCAGTGTTGAAAACAACCAGAGAATCTGACAGCACTGCCATATCGTACTGCTCAGTAGCTTCCCTTCAACTGCATCATAGTAATATTTTCTCTTCACTCGAAAGTTAAAGCCAGTAATTGAAGTATTCTGGCTGACTTTTAAAGTTTACGAGTTTTTAAAATTACGAGAAATTTACGAGTTACTTTGGGAGGAAAGGGTTCAACAACGCATGCGCGTGATCGCTAAGAGACTTAGAGGTATGCTCGTAAAAATATTACCATACATATAAGGCCATAGCGCCCTCGTTACTAAAAGTAGTTTGTCAGCATAGTAACCGCTAGAGCAAACTCATTGACGAAATTTAAATGCCTGAGACATTTTGAGGCATGTTAAATGAGCACAATGCAGCCAAATTGACTTCTGGATCCAAATAAAATGTGCATTATTACACATTGTCTCGTAAGTACGCACCCCGCATTTCTCGATTATCATTTTCTTTGTTTCGTTTTTCTTAAACCACTTCACTGCCTCAAAACTCTCTGAATAGATGGATTTCAAGAAAAAAAGTACCAAAAGGGAAAATACCAGCTGGACCTTTCCCTAAACCAATGTCCCTAAAGTCTCTAAACTACATTCTTACCATTCGTTCTTTGATGCGTAGGCTATGATTTCTTTTGATAAAACTGCAATTTTTACTGATGACATTAAAATAAGAATAAGCGTTTTTAAATGTTATTTGCCTGCAGCATCCAACCGGCTAACTCATAAATTGCAATCGGTCATGTCATCTTTCATGCACGAACTATCCATACTCGCTGATTGTTATATCTTTGATAAGTACACCCTTTTAATGGAATCTGAAGAATCGCTTTTTGTAGACAGTGGACACGCCTACCTTAGAGCCTGACTTTGGGGTTCCTTATAACTCATATATTTATACATCTGCCGCACCCCTAGCATAAAACCATAAAATTCTGGAACATTTCTCGAAAATATTACTCCAGAAAACCTATTTATACCTCGAACAATGGTAATCTTTCCTTAAGATTTCTAATCTGCGATTAAGGCAAAAGGAAATAATCATTGTGAAAGTGTTACTTGTTCACTTGAACTTCTAAACTAACAAAGCATATTAAGTTCTAATAAACTGTTAATACTAGTAATAAAAATAGATTCCTTTTGAATTGAAAGGAAATATATAACTTAACGAGACACTTTCCAACTTAGCATTCATTCTCTCCACCAAAGGCGCATGTAAGAGATCATCATCATCGGTCGACCGAACTGAGAATCACGGTGCCCGTAACTAAAAAGAATCATATCCAAATGAAAGGGAAGTTAATACCGGTGGCGGACCGACACGTGACTTGGCATGAGTGTCTTACATGCGTGACTACTTGAGTACGATGTACTGGAGTTAGCTTTTTTGCAACTTTCCATTCCCAAAATGCGGTTTTCTTTCCCACAAATGTTTGTATAAGTATTGAGACTGTCAATCGTCCCTTATTGAGAAATTGAAGCAATACCCATGCATTTTCTCTTGTGAGAAAACCTACTGTATTATGGGAAAGGTGAAAGTCGCAAAGTGGTGGGATTTTTTACAAGGAAAATCAGAACCACACTATAAATGCACAAAGATAATGAAAAAATAAACTCTCTAAAAATCAAGTGAAACCCTATCCTTTGCATTCAGGTGTAGATACTTTAACACGCTGCTTACGGTGGCAGGCTTTAGATTCACCGTTGGTAGTTGATTTGTTGCCTTAACGGCTTTACCGCATTATAAAAAGATAATCATAAAATCCGTGTTGGAATTTTTTTGAGCGTCTAAGGTTTTTAAATACTCAATTTCACAGTTGTCCTTGGTAGATCCACTTTCTAGATTGAAACCTCAAGGCTTGTCCTGTATTGTGACCATTCAAATGGAGTTGGAAGCTACTGAGCAGTTTTTGGATGGTGCCATAAGCCACTTTTCTGTTATGTTTTCATCAGAAGTGACTAATTGTGTTTGAGTTGAAACCGTAACGAAGCTGGAAATTTTGTGCCACTTCATCGACTTTCACGCCAAAAATTGCTCGTGCTATGTGGGGGCGAACGGGCAAATTGTGTTATGAGTTTTGATTGTGATTTCCTGCAGCAAAGATTTAAAACTTGCATCTTGATTTTTTTATTCGGCTTTTCGTAATGCAAAAAGGACACTTCCAGACTCAACTTGCTTTTTGCACCACTCAGTTGTTCACGGGAGAAGGGAGGGGAGAGGGCTACTTCCTATAATGGCCTATAAGTGGAAGTTCCCCCTGTGCAAGTTTGTGGCGTACTCCCCTCGTACTCACTTTAGCGATGGACTTCAAATGTTCAGTTGGGCAATGCAAAATGTCTTTGCCGTAAGATTAGAGATATTTTAAGCCCATCTATAAAGCCTCGCTCTCACTTTGACTCCAGCGAAGGTTCCACCAGAGATAGAAATCATGCCTGCACCCAACCTCACAGCTATAATAGGAGAGGCAGTGGTTTTGAGATGCGTGGTCAAAGCGGGTCATTCACCTCCAGCTGTAGTCTGGGAAAGAGACACAAAGCAACCGCTTAACAGCAGTAGCGACGGCATATTGGTGATCTTCCCTGTAACTTTTGACAATGAAGGAATGTATATCTGCAAGGCGTCGAATATCATTGGGTCAACTGAGGCCGTGGCCTTGCTTACTGTACAAGGTAATTAAAGAAGAAGGAGAATTCAAACACCTGAGAGCTCAGAACAATTTTCCGAGCTCCAGGTGAGAATCGAACTCACGACCCTCCGAGTTCTAGTTCGGACGCTCTAATCACGGAGCTACTGGAACTCTAATGGCGAACAGGGTCGGAATTTAATGTTACAGTGAGAAAAGCTCTTATTGAAAGCTACACTGTAAGATACCGCCATCCCTGCCGGTTCTGTCATTTATGGAATTTGCTGCAACCTGTTCAGTAGCGAGGATCTTTCAAGCGTTAGTCGCTTATAAAATAATTCATACTAAATCCTCCTTCCTGCTTATATGTTCCTCAAAAAACATCTTAGTGTGTCGCCTAAAGGTATAGCTCAATAAGGTTATCAAGGGCCTGTTTACATGGAGGTGGGGGACCCTAGATAGGTGAGGTAGCCCGATGTAAACGTGATCAAATTAAAATGAGATTGTGTGGACAGGCGGTTTACCCCACCTAAGCAGGTTACCTCACCTACCTGGGGTCCTCTGCCTTCATGTAAACAGGCCCTAAAAGTAACCATAGAATTTTTGGGAAAGGGAGTGGGGAGCAAAGGCAGCAAGAAATTTCCCCTGTATTCAAATACCCACAAGGATTACCCAGATTTTAACCCGGTTGTGTTCAATTCCCGCTAGCATGTTTTCCTTACTATATATGTCTTGTTTTCCGACGTCCCCGCCATTTTGCATAACCTGTTAGTGGCGAAAAACAATGTTGTTGAGTTACCTAATGTTTATCTAGCCCCAGAAAATCAGAT